TAAAAATTAAGAGTCCTATTTCATTTCTAATCTATTATATGTTGGCTAAGCACTAACTCCAATGATACTGCTGTAAAATGATATGGTGTAGCAGTTTTTATGCAGCTAAAACTTTTAGATGGGGGGAAGTACTTCTGATTCCTTTTTAGTAAAGTTTGAGTAATTTTTTAAAACTAAAATAAGGGAGCTGTAGTGGTGTTGTTTGTAGGGTGTTGTGTTGCTAACCATGAGTGTATCTCTAGTGGTTTGAATTCACCAGCTCCTTCTGAATGATAAAGATGGTATTTGTAACAGCCTCTGAAGCCCAGTGGAGGCATGCTGTAAGTTGGAACCAGCATGATGGATGTGAGTTAGTTGTTCATGAAAGCTAGTCTTGCTGGCTGGCACATCAAGAAATTAACATAGAAAATAAAGTTATTGCTATTAAAGAGTTTAGGTTTTGGTGTCAGATAGTTGTAGCTTCCTACCCCAGGCTCCATACTTGTGAAAGAAACTTTATCTTAGTGTTTAAAGGATAAAGTGAAGTAATGAAATTTAGTGAATTAATCATGTACACTTATAACAGTATCTAGAATAAAGTGATTAGATGAAGTTATCTTGAAACTTTCAAGATAAAGTCTACCCTCTTAAAGACCCTTTTTCATTCTTTTTATCTCTTTATCCAAAATTTACCTCACCATTTTATGTAGTCTTATTATCTTGCACAAGATAATAGTTACAGCTAGTTAGCTATAATTTTTGTTGGTAGATTTTTTTAGGTAGTAGTTTGTCATTTTAGACAAAACTAATTATTCAGAGTAAATGTTTTGTTTAATTATTATATCTCTAGAAGTTGTCAGCAATCCTAACAAAGTAAGCATGGAGTATTTTACTGTAGCAACAACAACAAACTTTTATATTAATGACATTCTGGATGTCCCATTTTTCCCCAATTTTAAATCAAGAATGTATTTTAGAAAGCATTACTTTTTTTTTTAAAAAAAAATTTTTTATTTCATTATATTTTGTGTGTGTGTACTGTCAAATCGGCCCTGACTGGTTCAGGAGGAAGATTACCCCTCCTTCTGCAGAGCATCTGGTAGATTTGAACCTTGCCTCTCTCAGACTGTAGTGCAGCTTCTTGCCACTAGGCCACCAGAGCTCCAGAAAGCATTACATTTCTTATTCAGCATAGTTGACTTTAAAAAAAAAAAAATCTGTCCTGTACCAGTCAGATCTGATTTGACAGTACATACACGCAAAATAATAAAATAAAATAAAAAAATTAAAAAAAAAATCTGTCTAAAATTTTTTATTGGAAGATTTAAGTAATTTTAAATCCATGTAATTATTTATGTATTAAAGTTTAAATCCGGTCTCTGTGCTTTCTATCATTTCCAATTTGATCCCTTTTTAAAGTTTAGGTTTTTTTAATTAATCAATTTCTGTTACTTGATTCTTTTTTCCTGCATGTGTGTTTAAACATCTACTTGGAGGGAAAAAAAATCTACTTGAGAAATTGCTTAACTCTAGGGGTGAACATCCATCCCATGGTGTGCCAAATGAACAGATAGAAATGTCTTGGAGAAAGTACAGCCAGAGTGCTCCTGGAAGGCAAAGGTACTTCACCTCACATACTTCGAGCATGTTGCTTTGCTAGAAGTGGCTGTTCCTTGGAGAAGGACATCAGTCTTGGAAAGGTGGTCAGTGAAGAAGGAAAAGACCCTCAGCAACGTGGATTGACATGTGACTGTCACTGTGGGCTCTGCAGTGTCAGAAAATGTGAGGATGGCACAGGAGAGGAAAAGATTCAGAATTGTTGTTCATACTGTTGCTATAGTTTGTACTCGACAGCACCTAACAACAGCATACATCCACTTATAAAACCTCAAAACTCATTGCCGTCAAGTCAAAACCAACTCAAAGCTAGCTCGTCCTCCAGCAGAGTTTGGGAAGCTCTAACCTACCTAGGAAAATAATCATTCATGTTTCTCCTTGAATTGCCCCTAGTGAATTTGAACTGCCAGAGAGGTACCAACTCTGTATGGACTACAAGTCTGTGTTAGTGTAGTCTTGACCTACATTTACACTGTATTTTTTTGTTTGTTTTCCCTCTCTTTTTCTCCAATCTTATATTGGAAATCATTTTACTTAAATCAATAAATATATTTTAGAATTTCTCTTTCAGTATGAGTCTGCTGGTAATGATGGCTCTCAGCTTTTATTTGTCTGAAAATAACTTTGAATTTACCTTTATTCTTTAAACACATGGTTTTAGAATTTAAGATAAAAAGTAAGGAAATTTCTACCACTTTTATTTCCTTTGCTATTATTATTATTATTAAAAATGTTGAAAACATGGAGCAATATTTGAAGATTAGAAATTGAGAATTTGGAACAAATGGAGAGGATTGGTTTATAGATTCAAGAAGCCCAGCAAATCCCAAGCAGGATAAATGAAAGTACTTACCTTAGATACATCAGTGAAATTTCAGGAAACAAAAATCAAAAGGAAAAAAAAAAATCTCAAAAACAACCATAGGGAAAAAGAAATACTGGTATAAAATGATTGTGATAGTATTAGTACCAGTACCTGTATAGTAATAGTGTAATAATACTATTTATAGTACTAATATTTGCAAAATAAGTAATGAAAAATTAAGATCAGCTCAAGATAATCACTATGATGTAGAGAATAAACATTACCTCTCCTCTCCAAACTTTATCAATACTAACCAACTCTCCTACAGCACACTCTACTTCATTGTTAGATTTAGTAATTCATTGCAGTGGCCACATATTTTGGTAACCACACTTTGAGTGATTTTTTTTTCAGGAGCAGAGTATGACTCAAGATTAGGATCAGCAGGATTCAGCTCAGAATTAAGATCAGGATGAGTGTAGGCAGAGTCTCATATTTTCAAAGAGGACAGCTCTTTGCACCTTTTAGACCTCTGAGGATAGACACCTTTTAACCCCTTCAATAGAACAGGTTTCTTTTGTTCCTACCACCTATCACTAGCCAGTAGCTAGGCCTGGCTCCAGAGTTGCCACTAGTTCTGCCAGTGGGCCCCTTCTGGATCTCACTGTCTTTGGCATTTATAACCTTTTACGTGTTTCCTTGCTCCCATTATCTACTGGTGCTTTCTGCTTTTTCCTCCTCCTCCTCTTGCTTGTAAAAAAATGCTGTCTCACATTGCCTGTGTTGGGTTCACTGCTTAAATAACAACTCTTTGTACATTTCAAGGCATAGTACTCCTTACCAAGACCAGGAAATTAACCTATCCTTCTCTGTGTGCTGAATGTGTTGGAATATTTTTGTTTCCTCAGAAAACTTTTTTAAAGTTAATAAATGTTACATCTCATTAAAGGAAAGTAATACATACAAGTATGTTGAGATAAATGAACCAAATATATATAAGTTATCTGAATTATGATTTAACTAAATGCCCTCAATATATTTTAGGTGAAAGAAGATGGGCATATGATATCTTGGATAAGAGTAATTTTTTCAAAATAAGAATATGACGTGGAATTTCTTTTTTGGGGGAATGATTTTTTTTTCTTTATAAGTACAAAATCATTTTTTTCCTTAGTGTTTGTCTTGTTGTGTTATTGTTTGCCATAAAGTAGAAACTGATTTCATAGCTGACTCTGCAGGAAGTTTTTAGAGACAGTGTACTGCAAGAGATTATCACATTTCTTCTGTGAAGCTGCTGGTAGATTCGAACCTCATGGACAATGTAGCTTTTTATCACTAGGCTACCAGAGTTCCCTTGTCTTGATAGAGCTCTACAAATATTTTAATTCTTTTTCTAATTTATAAAAATATTTGAAAATTTAATGAAAAAGCCATAAGCAGTTCCAAGATTAAAAAATAGTCATGTCTATTTATGTCTCTAATAATTTGAGGTAAAATTTTGTCTTGGGTATAGTTTTAGCATTTATCTTGATGATTCATTCCTAACAGACTGAAAGGAAAATTATTAAGATATCTTTATTTAATTGGAATTAACATTATTCTTTGTGGGTTTTTGTTGGTTTTTTTTTTTAAAAAAAAAAAAAAAAAAAAAAAACCAACAGTGCTTACACTGGACTGATTTCTTTTGCCATGAATTCCTTTTACTCTCAGAGTAAAATACAAATTTTTTACTTTCCTTGCAAGCCTGTACATGATCTGGTCCTTGATGAACTCACCTCCTTTTTAAAGTCCCTTTGGCTACACTCTTAAGTAATACTTACATTGTTTTCCTCTTAAATCCTGTGCAAGTTACCACCATTCATATCTTTGTGCTTGCTGTAAAACCATGTCTGGGATATATCTCCCCAAGTTTTCTATTGATTGTCTTTTGGATCATAAAGACCACCTACCTAATACTACCCCTAAAATAAACTAATATAGTCATTCATTATCACATTATTCTTCCCCCCCCTTTCTTGATAGCAATTAGTACTTGCTGTTATCTTAATTCTTTACTGAATTGGTTGTCTACCTCCTGTCCCCCACTACAGAATTCTAAGCTCAGACTAAAATGTAAGGAGAAATGTCTTGATTTATGCCCTACACTTAGGAATGAGCTTATTACTTGACACATAGTGTGTTACTGTTACTGTGTGCAAGCAAGTTGAAATTGACTCATAGCTGACTGTGCAGCAGGTTTTCAGAGATTGTAAATTGCACAGATTTCTCATCTTTCCCCCACAGAACATCTGGTGGATTCGAACCACTTGCCTCTCAGTTGGCTGCGCAACTCCTTACCACTAGACAGAGCAGAATTCCTGTTACTTGACACATTGTATTCAGTAGTTTTTTTTTATTTCATGAGTTAGCTAGTTGTTTCATCTCTAAGTAGCAAAAGTACTGTATAGAATTTCTTAAATAATACTTGGCTTTTCTATTTTACATTAAAAGTTGTCAGTATTTTACTATTTCTACTTGGCTAATTTTATCCATTTTACTGGTTGGTAATAAAAAATAATTTTAATCTTTATATCTAGAATTACAATTTCCTTTTTGACAGGTTGACTTTGGCAGAGTATCATGAACAGGAAGAAATTTTCAAACTTCGACTTGGACATCTTAAAAAGGTATGCAAAGCATGTGGCATATTGTTGCATTGTTGCCTAATTTGTTACTAGAGGTTGTGAAGAATTGTTTGAAATACTTATTAAAAAGACAGATTCTAAATGGAAAACTTCAGACCTCTAAAAAAAATGTGCTGAATATCTTAATGTAATTTTATATTAAACATATTAAAATTACATTCTTTTACTCTGTGGCAACTTAAAATACTGAAAGGTGATTATTGGGAGACCTCCAGGGGATCTCTCGATAACTGTTTAAATACCAGTTTGTGGTTTAAAACATGCTGTATTAAAATCAAATACAATCTTATGTGTTGTTTATGTCCATTTCATAATAAATTATAGATAAACACTTATTTCTCTAACTTAACTCTTTAAGCTGTTGGATGATTGATAAAATGTTTTGATCATAGTATATACTTGAGAACATTTTGAAGAGCCATGAATCATCAGTAGTAGGTTATAGTAAAGGGATGTAATTTAGAAAAACATGGCTTTGTATTATTAAAGCAAATTTTTATAAGGCATAGCTTCATACTTTGAAAACTCTGAAACTGTAATCAGTCTATTGTTCTTCTAGGTCTTAGTTCAAACTATTTCACGAAATAATAACAGTTGATTTTACCCCTGAAAATAGAGATACTGACAAACTTATAAAATTCCTTGACTCAATTTTTATTCTGTCTGTCACATTGCTTAAACATTTTTTAATAGATTGAGTTAAAGCTAAAATTGAGTTGGTAATTGAATTGAAGTCATCTCTTTGGGTAGAAGAAGGCAGAACAGAGGAATCCATTTTGGTAGTAGCTACTAACTAGGTGATGTTTTGTTTCAGTTTTAGCAATATACTGAATTATAGGAAACAAAACAACATTAAAAACCCATCTGTTTAATTAAGCACACATCGCTGAAAACCCCTTGCCATCAATTTGATTCTGACTCATGGTGACCTTGTGTATCTTAATGGAACTGTACTTCATAAGATTTTCAGTGGTGTTGAAGTGGGTTGTGAGGCTTTTCTTCCTAAGCAGCTTTCATTTGTCTTTGTGTTCTTTACTGTGACACATCTGCTAGCCTCTACTCAGAAAAGATTCAACCTCAGCTACATGTCACCTTCAGTCTATTAAAGATATAACTGTAATGGAACTTTATAGCAAGGAGAAGGGAATTCTGTAATACAGAATGTGTCACAGGAGTTTGTCTATTTAAAATGTTTTTACAGTAAACTCACAGGAACCTATGCTTAAGATAACCTACATAATCAAAACCTGTTGTCATTGAGCAAATTTTGCTTAATGGAGAGACTCCATATGTTACAGAATCGAGCTAACTACTCCATAGGGCTTTCTAGGCCCTAATCTTTATGGAAGCAGATTGCAGATTTTTTGCCTCTGGCACCATTGATTGGGTTCAAACCACCAACCTTGACACTAGTAGCTAAGTGAAAACCATTTTTGCACCAGTATAAAGGTTGTTTGCAACCAGCCTTTTGTGACAGGATACCATGTAATCTATTTAGTGACGCTGCAACTAAGTATATACTTGAAATTTTTACTTCAGAGACATTATTTACATATACAATAACAAACTTGACATTATACATGTATGCTTTTACTTTATTAAACCTTTTCTATTAAATCTGGAGTTACAAAGCTATTAACAAATTGGGAATTGAGTATTTTAATTGTGAGAAATACTTTTGAAAAGACTTCAGAGGAGTATAGTTGGTGGCTGACTTATTTTTAAAGCTTTCCTGGTACTTTTTTTTTTTAAAGAGTAAATAGTAATGGTAAATTTATTAGAAAGTTACATTCCTAAAAGGACAGACCTTCCTCCTTGAAGGGAGATAAGGAGAAAAGACTTTTCCTGATACTTAATGAAGATGCTTTATTTCTGTGAAACACTTCTGTGTGTGTGGTGATTTTATTTTTAGCTTTTCTGTTTTCTAAAGCGAAGTATTCTAAAACATTTATAATCTCTTCTAGAATACCACACTTACTCTTCTAACCTCTAAATTAGCCTCTTCTTGGTGTTTTCTGTACTTAAATCTTTCTTTTTAAAGCTGCCCCCTTTTTTATTTTTTTTTTTTTAATTTGGCTTTTATCAAGTTTACTGAAAAGTTTTAGATTTCTAATTTTGTCTTCTTAACCAATTTACAACATAACTATTTTTTGACTGCCATAATGAAAACATTGGGTGAATGGATAAATTGATGCTGAAACATACTCGTACATCTTGAGTTCTCCCATTCTCTTGAAAAGAGTGAATACTTAATAAAGAAAGTTGATAGTGATAATCTACAGAGGAAAAAAGTGATCAAGCATGTCACCTTAGAACACAAATAACATTTTCCTGCTTCCGTCTGGGTATTAAATTTTGAGTTGTACAGTCAAAACATTAGGAATGGTACATGTTTTTAAAATTAAGTTGTTTGACATTGTAAAACCATAATTTAAAAAGTAGTCCTGTAAAGTCCATATCCTTTGCCAACTTTCCACTTGCTTCATATCTGCTTACTTCTGATTGACCAGAGCAAGGTATATGGCAAAGGAGTTGCATCTCTTCAATGGTAGAGCTGAAAAGTGACAAGACTTGTGATGGTGAAAACAGGAGTGGTAAAAGATCCATGTCCATCAGTGCAATTTATTGTACTTTCTTGACCACTGTAAATCTGCAGTCCAAATATTTGCTTCCATACAAAAATTCTCACCACTGGACCAATCGGTAGCATCAGGATGGATGGCGAAGAGATTGAGATTGTTCATAGCTTCAGTTTGCTCGGCTCCACGGTCAACACTCTTGGCACCAGTAGCCAGGAAATAAAAAAACATATTGCGATGGGAAAGTCTGTGGTTAGGGACCTCTCCAAAATACTCAAGAGCAACAGTGTCTCTCAGGAGACTAAGGTCCGCCTGATACGGGCCATGGTTTTTGCAATCACTAGTTATGCATCAGAGAGTTGGACAATGACTAGGGAGGATAGAAGGAGAATTGACGCCTTTGAGCTGTGGTGCTGGAGAAGAGTATTGAATGTACCATGGACTGCCAAGAAAACAAACAGATTCATCATAGAGAGGATTAAACCAAGCTGCTCCTTGGAGGCAAGGATTCTGGGGCTTCGTCTGACATACTTTGGACATGTTGTCAGGAGAGACGGGTCTTTGGAGAGGGACATCATGCTGGGTAGAGTGGAGGGACAGCACAGGAGGGGAAGACCCTCTATGAAGTGGATTGATTCAGTGACTGGGGTACTCGGGATGGGTTTGTCAGGGGCAATGAGATTGGCATAGGATAGAGCACGGTTTAGGGCTATTGTACATAGGGTCGCTATGAGTCGCAAGCGACTCGACGGCACATAACAACAACACCTTAAAACCTGTTTATGGCTTTCAGCATTCTGCATTTTTTAGATAAAAAGAATGGCTCAGTATTATTTTTAAAAGCATAATTCATTTTATACAAAAATGACTTTGTCAGTGGGACAGACTTCTAACAGCAAAGGAGCTTAAGTCATGAGAAAAGATGCTATCACCTCTTAATCAATTTCCTCTACTGGGTTTATTAACTGAGATAAACTGTACCCTAACTTGTAAATATATAGCTCATGCCTAGGCTGGATCTGAACTCGATGTCATATAACCTGTACAGGAAATTTAAATTTCTGGTCTATGTAAGTTTAGGGCTTTATATTTGTATTCAAGCATAATCCTGCATTAGCACAGGACTCTTGCTCACACTCTCTTGAGCAAACCCCTAAAGTTAAGCAGAATTGTACGTAAAATTTGTTAGCAATGAAGGATTGTGGAAGCTCATGCTTTATGGACATGGGGACTAAAAATATGTTTACTTTTTCTTGGAATGGATCATTTATGACATACATGTATTTTGGAATGTCAGTCATCCTTATAATTGAGAGTTATTGTTATATGCTATAGCTGACCTTGTGGGTTTTTAGAAGCTGTAAATCATACAGGAGGAGATTGCCCATCTTTGTCCCATGGAGCAATTGGTGGATTCAAACCACATGCCTTTGGGTTGGCAGCATAGTTCCTTACCGCTAGGCCACCACTAGAGTTCTTTGTAATTAGATAGGTAGATTTAAATATGAAAATGTGTATATAACATTGAATAAATAATAAACACTGAAAAAATAAATACTTGTGATCTACACTGAAAAATACCAGAGGTCAGCTCATATTGTTTGATAACAAAGTTGAAGGATGATTAAGTAATGAGAGTGGGATAGAAACTTCTAAAGGTAATTAATAAATGATGCTCAAAAACTCTCAGATTCATTGCCATCCATTTGGAACTGGTTCATAGCTGATCCTCCCGTGGGTTTTCAGAGACTGTATAGCACATGAGAGAAGATTGCCCTTTGTTCTCCCACAGAGCAGTGGTGAATTTGAACCACATATATTTAGGTTGGCAGCCCATCTCTGAACCTACTAGACCACCAGAGCTCCCTTTGACATTGCTAGTTATCACCGAAAAGTTAATGTAAACTTAGTTAAGGACAAGTTCTATCTTGTAAAATTAAAAAAAAAAAAAAATCATTCTCCAGGATCACGTTTTAAATTACATCAACAATAAATATATAAATCTTTACTGTTTTATTTAATATTAGTGTATGCAGTAAGTGAAATTTATAAACACACTTACTAAATTGCAGTAAAGAGATGTACTATTTTGAGTCAAGTATTATCCATGCATTATAGATGTGATTACTAAACCTCAGAATGTTAACAGTAAACCTTGGCATTTGCAGGGGATATACCCCCAGGATTTCCATTTTAGCATATAATTTCCCTCATACTAAATAAAATGCACTCAAATATGACTAAAGATAAGAATTTTGAATGATCTTAGGGAGACCCTTTGAGCTGAGTGTATTAGGGGGTTTGTTTTGGGCTTGCTCATTCTCTAAATATTTCCACATCATGGCTGATAGAAGTGTGATTTAAGTTCCAGTTTCAGAAGAATTATATAACCAATATATTTTA